AAGTTGCCAACTTTATAGATCTTCTCCATGCAAACTTTAACAATCCTGAAGGAAAAGGGACAATAACCTAGATCTAGTTACTTAAACTCATAAAGGTTGAATCTTAGAGACTTACAATGGTCCAACATGTGCACAAGATGATGATGATGATGATGAAGCCTCCTTGCTGGACCAACACTCTAGAACTTATTCTTCTTCTTCTTCCAGCCACTAAAACATCACGATGGATCCAAAACCACCAAGAGGGATGAGGGTTAGGGTTTTCTGAGTTGGAGGGAGGTGGAGGCTGAGAAATGAACCCTAAAACCGAGTTAAGGGGACTTAAATACGTGGGAAACCCTAAAAGTTTGTGGGCTTGGGTTGCAGCGATCCTCACGTCATGATCTCTTATTTCTCACGTCGTAAGCACAAGATAAATACATTTCCTTCATTAATCGCACCTCACGACGTGACCATTCTATGGCTCACGTTGTGAGCCTTGGTTTTACCCAAAAACCATGCCTTTGACTCATTGAAACCTTGATTCGACTCTTCTAGGAAAACAAGTGTTACAGTCGAGAAAATCTAACTCTAATTGGAAGAGTTATGATTTTATGACGAATAGAAACCAACCATAATAACGCTATTGACATCAAAAATAGCAAAAAGAAAACGATTGAGTTTCGGCTAACACTATAAAAAGGAAATATGTAGTAAAGCATGAGATAAGAACTTGGGAAGGAAGAAGCGCGAAAATGGAAGTCGTATGAAGGAGATACGATTTTTATAAAATATAAACATGTGGGTTAAAACTGAAAGTTAAAATATGAAGATGCAACCTAAAGGAAAGTTGTAGTTCTAGGAAAGAGCTACACAAATATATAAAGATGGTAAGAAACAAAGTTCATATGAAGAACATATGATTTTTTAAAAAGGATTTAAGGGTGCGCGTCAATGTTCACGCCATGCCCGTCGCGCACATCTGACCCCCAATTTCGTCAGAGATTTAGAAACGTGGACTACCAGAAGGATGACACGTGGCAAGATTTGGATGGGCCACGAAGCAAGTGCACGCCGCGCAGGAGAGTGCCCGGCGTGCACCATCACTATATATAGGGTGCTTGCTCCCTGACTTTTCATCTCAAACCAACCTCCAAAATCTCTCTCTATACTTCAATACCCTCTTGATGGCAAGAAACTCTGGTTACAACGGTTCGGGCACTCCTCGATACACTATTAGAGTGAGTTCACGACCCCTATTTTACTATTTTAAAATGTCTTCAGGGGGGAATACATGCTTAAACAAATGATTTTATAAAAATATTTATCTTATAAATATTAAGTCATTTTATTATAAGCAATATACCTTAGGATAGTATAATTGTAGATACCATGCCTAGATTTAAGCTATGATCTATGTCTAAAAGATATGATGCCCGATAATCTAGGAGTGGGTAATACCTGATGTTATAATGGCCAAATACCTAAGAAACTTTAAGTACCTAGGAGTTATGCTAGACAAGATTTAGGATATGCATTGTACTTAATTGTTACGATGCCCAAATATCCTGTTAAAATAACCATAATTAGGCTATATATATATGACAATATATATATATATATAGATATATATATATATATATATATATATATATATATATATATATCTATATATATATATATCAGATAATTATGAGATCATAAATATAATATTGTATATATATATATATATCTATATATATATATATATATATATATAGAGAGAGAGAGAGAGAGAGAGAGAGAGAGAGAGAGAAGAGAGAGATCATTTGATGATATATACCCCGGAAGAGGTATATACAAAGATAGTGTGATGTGTGTGTGTGTGTATATTATATATATATATATATATATATATATATATATAGGGGTAATTATGATAAATATAAAAGATTAAAAGATAAAAGATAAAACTTATGGTTAATACGTTAGTGAGTTGGTTATTCATCTAAAAGTCTTGATTAAATTCAACATATCCCCAATACCTATAATCGTTAATCTTGCGAGAGCTAGGAAGTTATATATAGATCTATACGGGGCCATGACAACCCCACTTGCGATTGCTAGCTACAATCCTGAAATGATACCTTATATATAAATTACTATTCGACGTCCGATGAAGCGTCGTGATCAGCGGTACATTTACGGTCGTAGTGTCGATTATAGGGGCTCACGTTAATATATTAAAAATTGCCTTAAAACTTAGATTACCATTAGGGACGTCTGGTATGGTAATTAAAATACGTTAGGATCGTTAGAAATCCTTAAAAGATAGTAAATTATGATTAACAAAAGACAATCCTAATTATATTACGTTAGGATCGTTAGATATCCTGAAAAGATAGTCATTTAAGATCAATAAAAGATATCTTAAAAAGATAGAAGACTAGATAAATATAAGAAAAGTTTTCACTAAAGAAAAATATTTTTAAAAGGAATTCAAAAATTCAAAATATAAAAACTCGTGCATTCATCAACATTATGTTGACTTTCAAAATGCATGTATTCTCAGGTTAATAGGATTGACGTTTTTATACCGTCATACTGATCGGTGTTTCCGCCAAAAGCCGAGCAGAGGGTGTGACAAATCAAATACACATCCTCCTTTCGATTTTTTTTGAAACCACTAACTTGTATATAGCTTCGAACTCTATTAACATACAACCCTCTTCGTTTCTAGTACTAAAATCCAAACCCCCATGCACTAACACCTTAACATATCTTCCTAAGTCACCCTGAAATCCCCCTAAACCCGATCTAACAAGTAACGACCATACATTACACCACACCATATTAAAATGTCTCTCTCTTAGTGGTTGAAGTTTCAAGTCGTATTGTGGACAAATATGTAGATTTAGGAATAAGACTAATAGGTGTATGTATGTGTTTGTTGTTCTATTAAAATATTAACTAACAAGTTCATTTCATCATGTATCAACCAAACACATGCATTGATCACTTCTCATTTCATTTCAATTATTCCCGTACTAATTAAAAAAAATCGTCCAACCATTTCATTCTTTACCCAAAAAACCCATTTAAAACCAAATGTCACCCTACTTGATACATATCTTTTTAAAAACTCGAAACTTAAATATATTTTTTGTAATTTAACAATTTAAAGATATGGTTAACGTCACTATAGTCCGACCAACTTATTGGTTTTGGTTTAAATGTTCCCAAAACTTAACTTTTTGCTTTCTAGGGACACAAAGTGGGTCGACCGGTTTAAATGGTCCCCTTTACCTATGAAGACCGGTTGCTTATGCTACATCTACATTTGAAGTGCATCTGCGCATGTGTCACCCACATCAACATTGTAACTTTAGGTTCCTTGATGACCAAGATTTTTTCACTAAAAAAAAAGAAATAAAACTAAAATTCAACTCACATGATCATCCATACCACAAAGTTTTTTTGTGCTCCCCATTCACAGTATCCAACAACCCCTCTTCCACAAACAACTGAAGATGAAACTCCATTCACAAAATCCAGCCACCACTCTGCCTAGGGATGAACATATGGACCGGAGAATCGGCCGGAACCGGAACCCGATGGAACCGGTCGGGCCGGGACCGGGACTATATTCTTGTGGATTTTTGGAACCAGGAACCGGCAAAAACCGGAACCATATGTTGCTATTTATCGAGGACCGGTTCCAACATTGAAGACACGACAAGAACCGGTAGAACCGGCGGTCCGATTCGGTTCCTATTTTCCACCGAGTTCGGTTCCCGGGCCGGTTCCGGTTCGGACGGTTCCAGTCGGGTCGGTTCCTTTGTTCATCCCTAACTCTGCCTCTCACTACAAAAAAACACGACGTTATGTTCGCTTTCACCACCGACACTAACAATGATGATGACTATTAGTATGATAAGAAGAGGGACGGTGATAGGAAACTCAACTCTGTAATAGAAAAGGGTTATAAAATATAAATGAGATTAGATTGAGACAATACTTTGAGAAGAATGAATTCTTTCAATTGCTATGAATGTAGAACAATTACAAAAGACTCAAAATCAGAGAAGAAAATCTTATTGATTATCCCTCCTGCCCAAGCTACACAACCGACACTCAATAACATAAATATTCTCAAAGATGGTCCCAAATAATATGCGCCCATTATTATTTATACCCCAACCATGTAGTAACAGCTTGCCACCATCCCTGCCCTACACCTGTCCATTTCCTTCTTTTTACGTTTGTAGACAATACAAGGTTTGGGCTCCCTATTTTGTGTGGCAGTAGTGGGCTCGTTGGTTTTGCTCACCAATGGTCGTCTTTGGAACTCGAGAACCATTATTCATGAATAAAAATAACAAAATTCAAAGACTTGCTTCACCATGAACATATTTTCAGATCTTGAAACCAAAATCAAATTTTAAACCCAAAAAACGTGACTCCATTGTGATCCGTTGTTGCTGTAAAGCTTTCTTAATCTATTTTTCACTTTGATTTCTCAACCTTCTTTAAAGAACATGATTCAAATATGGCCCAAAAATAAGCTCCCGGTGTCATTTATGGAAGGTAAGTTTGTAGCATCGCTTTTCATGTGCGTTTGGGTAGAAAGAAAACGATTATGATTTGAGTATGTTCTTCCCAGAAGCCCAATAAACCATGACGACATTAAATTCGTCTGTAACTTCTTAGATATTCTTCTTTGTGTTCCAGAAACACAGAAGAGAGAAAACAGGAGAGGAGGGAGATCATTATTGATGATTCAATATGATACGAAACAAAGATCAAAGTATGATACGTAACAAAGATCAACTACATTAATTATGCAGAAAGTGATCACACACACACAGAGGCGAGTTTGAAATTTTTTTTATTAATCAAATTTATTAATCAAAAAGTAAAAATACCACATAATCCAGATTTAACCGGTGAAAATGAAATTCAATACCCTTTTTAATAGGTCAATTCTAAGTTTAAGGACCTATACTACAAAAAAAAAAAAAAAAAAAAAAAAAAAAAAATGTGAGGGACCTTTAAAAACAAAACCCAAAAGTTGGCAGGGAAACAGTGACTTTAACCATTTAAAGATACAAATCAAACAAATCACAATTCATGGCAACAACTTTACTTTCCTAGATTTTCCAAAATTAAATACACCGTCTTCATTCTAATCTAAACAAAAGTTCTGTTTTTCTAGTAAATAAAAAAACAAAAATACAGAAAGAAAACAACACCACCTTAACCTTCAACAGCAGCTGGATAAGAAGAAGCAGAAGAAGAAGCCTTGTTTGCAGGATTATACACGCTGTAGTCCCCAAACTCTCTTCTACCACTGTCAAATGCCAATAAACCATCCACTCATCATATCCTATCCTTTTTCCATAAAACAAAAGTCAATCATAGTCAAAGTCAAACATGTTAGCAGACAATCATGTAAGTAAATTGTTACCTATGTGTGACATCCCATCCACCAGGTAAAAAACGTGGATGAATAGCTTCAACAAACACTTGTCTCCATCTTTGACAAAACTCACGCACCCCATCTTCTCCATGTTCCTTTAACAAAAAGTCAACCACTTGTTTCCCATGTGGTCCATGACCTAACAATGACAGCTTTGAGCTACACGTAGCAAACACTGAACCATTTGGATTTGGGTCAACATCTTCTAAATCATTTTTCCCTTCATCTTTTTTACATGATAATGACAAGCCTTTCTTTTTATGTAATCGTCTTTTTTCATGAGGACTCATTCCAACAAGTAAAGCATTTTCCAAATCTTCCTCACTTATCTCTCTTCCTCCATAATACTTCTTCACAACCTCTTTCAGTTCCTCACATCGCTGAGCTGGCATCCTGGGTCCATGTCTCAAAAGCGCCATTGCTGCAGTTCTCAACTCCAAAGGAGACACACCACCATCCGCAAGCATCATAACAGATGATTGTAATTCCTCATTGGAATTAACGACTTTTTGTACAAACAACGGAATCGCGAATTCCGAAGCGACTTTCTTCTTGTACTTTTCGGCAGCGGAATGTGCTTTCTCGTGACAATCGACACAAACCAAAACAATGTCGTGGGAGCGGTGGCTTTTAAGGTGTTCGGGAAAGTGGATTCTGTAGCATGATGGAATGATGCGGTATCGTAAATAGTGATTCCCTTCTCCACATCCTACACATATGTTTTTTTTACTTTGGATGTAGAAGTCGTTTCCTTCGTCTTCTGGGCGACCTTTGGGTTCAAAAAGTAGCATTATGGCTGGTGGTTCTTCTTCAACGAGTTTTGCTAGATCGCGTTGTAGATACCTGAAAGATTTTGATGCTTATGTTTTGTTTGAGTATAATGTGGTGTTTGATTGTTTGGTTTGTGGAAGGAATGAAATCTGGTGAATGGATTGGAATCAGAGGGGTTTTTGGTTGGCGTGAAAAGGTATGGAATTTAGAAACAAAATTGTTTTTGTTTTTCTAAAAAAACGGTTTTAGAAAATTAAGTTGAGTTTTAAATAAAAGTTTTGGAAAATACGTTTGGTTGAAATTGATGGAGTTTTTCGTTTTCCATTTTAGAAATTTAGAGAAGTTTGGAAAACTGTAAAAATCACTTTTCTAATTTACATACGATTTGTAAAATTTTCTTTGAAAATTTTGAAAACTTAATCAACCAAACGCGTTTTCAAAATTTATTTTCATTTGAAAACTTTCATGAAAAACTGGAAAATTTTCCACAACCAAATACACCCTAATAAATTTTGGGAAAAGGTTTGATCTTTTAGTAATAAAGGATGAAGGGAATCTGTCAAGGAATTGGATTTTTTTTTTCTAGATTTTCACTTATAATCAAAAAATATTTTTTATTTATTCCAATATGCCCATGATGAGGGTATTTTGGTCTCTTAATTAAAAACAGGAAGAGTGGAATTGAATTCACTTATAATTTTATCTTCTACTTATATACATAGAATGAGGGTATTTTGGTCTCGTAATGAAAAAAATTGGAAATAAATTTTTTCCACCACCCCAAGAAGTGGTGAAATCCATCAAAAATGGAATTTGAAGGAATATGGTGGATTTGAATTCCATAAACTTGGCTGCCAAAAGAGCCACGGAATACAATTTTGAAATATAATGAGGGTATTTTGGTCTATCTTAAAAAGGAAGAATGGAATCCAATTCCTTCCACCAACACCTAGGAAAGATGAAAAGCATCAAACATGAAACTACAAGGAATATGACGGAATCGAGTTCCATCCATGTGCCAACAAAACACACCATGAAATGGAATCTTGATATACAACAAGGGTACTGATTGGTCTTTTGAAAAAAAAAAATAATGGAATCTTGAATTCCAATTCCGTCGGAATCCACAAACCAAACAAACCGTTATGTTCAATTTAAAAAAACAATTTACTACTAACCATTCTAGCTTCCTTCTATCACAATAACACAACAATCGTCCATCATTAGCATATATCCTGCAGTTATGATAAACAGGAGATTTGCACGAAAATTTCTGAACAAAAAGCTCCCGAGAAGCCTTCCTTGCAACTTGTTTTGAAAATTTATACCCATTTTTAGAAACCAATCTTTTTGATACTTTCATGCTGCTTTTAGACAACAACCCATAGTTATAAAGAGAAAGAGGACAAGAACCATGTGGGCCAATGTGCTTTTTAAGAAATAGCTGAAGAATATCATCAGGATTGTTTAACTTTAATCCATCTTGAAGGAGGTCAGTGAGGTCATCAAGATGGCTTAAGACAACAGAGGATGGAAAGCGAGGGGTAGAATTGGAATTTAGAGAGTCGGTTTCTATATCAGCTTGTGATATTGTAGTGCAAATATCTGTAATGGTTAAAGGAACTTTTTCCGCAAGGGCAACTATGGCATTATCGGATAATACGTATTTAAGACTCTCATCATGCATACGAGCCTGAAAAGATGTGTACAATGAGACAATGGCATAAAAGGTAAATAAGTTGAACTCAAAGGTGTTTAGTTTACCATTAAATCCCGCCAAGAGCATAGACATCTAACAACATCCTGAAACTGCATTGAGCATAACATCAAAGAACCAAAGGTAACAATCATGATTGAATTAATAATGTGATTCCAAACAAACCCTAAGATGAAGGAAAAAAAAGGGTACCTGAGAATTGATATTAGAAGTTCCATGATCATTTAAATGGCGGGAAATAATTGAAGATGCAGCATATTGTCCAGGGGAAGCTTCTAATTCTTTAGTGAAAAGTTGAAGACCCAAAGCATTTGAACGCCGATTGGCCTCGAAAACAAAATAGAATTTGTCATCGAGACTTGCTGAATTTTCTGATGCACTATTATCTTTAGAACTACAGTAGAAGAAACATGGTAAAATACAAGATTCATTTTTTTTTTAAAGTAGTTATTAGGTGTGATTATTCTTATCATTACACACTGGTTTTTCTATGAAAGAAGATGGAGAAAGATAAAAACATACCGTTTTTTTGAAGTTTGAGTTCAGAAACAAGGCATTCTGCAATGTAAAGCAAATAGTGTGCATCCATTCGGGCATATTCAATCATATCTATTGGTAGTGGACGTTGTCTCCAATCTTCACGCTATATATATGTGCAAATTATTCATAAAAAAGTTAAGGTTGTTAAAAAATATTAGTATATTATTGAGTATTTATATTATTGTACCTGGTAGAGCTTGTTAGTGGTGACACCACAGTATGTTTCAAGTAAGTATGCCAATGATCTTTGTGGTTTTGATAACACATCACAAGCCTGCAAATTATTCAATCAATTATCATCTTCAAAAGTTGTAAAAAATATATTCAATGTCGAATTAACATAGAAGCTTCTACTAAATGTCTTTCTCACCTTTGCAGTGTCAAATAAGTTTACTACATAGATATGAAAATCCCTTTGTAGCCATATAACATCATTATCAGCACCATGGAATACCTAGACAAGCAAACCACAAGGCATTATAACATGAAGAGAGATGAGATCAGATAAGAAATGAAGCACATGCCAAAGAAGTACCTTGCATATATTGGGATTGGCAAATACAGGGCAAAGAATTCCCATAGAATCATGAACAGCAATGGTGTCCACCAAATAATCTTCCTCTCTTGTAGAAATCTATAATCAAGAGCATAAACACAGAGCATTAGAACATGAATGTCCTTGGCAATGTGAATACTAATACTTCTTGAAGAAGAATTATATGTCCCACCTGAATAAGGGCTGTAAACCCTAAGAACGACCTTAAGCTATGCTGTTCAGTATCCACAGCAAACACTCTTTCTTTACTTAAAACCTGTGCAAGCTCTTTCAACTTTGATTCATCATCAATCCAAACATATGTATCACTCATGTCCATATCCATAGTTCCATTACAAAATTCAAATTCTAGCTCAGGTTTCTCCAACAGAGACTTGATCTCTGACTCATACGGATGCAGATCCGAAGAGCTGTCATCTGTTTATCAATAGTCGACATTCAATAGACACATCATCAATACATTGCCATAACAAATTACGCATGCCAAAACGAGTAACCATTAAAACCCGTCGTTACAAATAACGAACTGAGGTAGATCGTTGCAACACTTACAAGAGGAAAATCTCAATGTATCAAGAGATACAATCAAAATTAGATTTTTATAAAACACCCAGAAACTCCAGCTAGGGTTTATAGCTTATATCAATATTCCAATTCCAAAAACAAAATTAATTTAACAATACATTACCGTCGAGCTTCAGGTGCTTGAAAGGAGAGTACGAATTATTGGCCAAAACACGCTTAAAATTGTGTTGAGGTTTTGCTTCTGATTTCAAGTAACAAGAGCCTATGTTCTGTTTTCGTTTTCGCTGTTTCCGAAATTTGTTCGCCAGTAAGATTGAAACCACGGCAAGACATGAGATTGTAACTGCAATTTTGATCTTATCCTTATTCTCCATTTTTAATCCCTGCTAGTTACGACGAGCTTCAAAGGTTGACGATAATGGCGGCCTGGTGGTAAGAAAAAATGGAAGAACATTCAGAGGTTTAACGGTGGTTCAACACTTCAATATCGGCTCCACCGAACGGGTTAATGGGCTAACATTTTGGACCTATCAAAATATTTCTGACCGGTTGAAAACCGGTCCGGCCCACATAAAAACATTGGGCTACAATCATGGCCCATATCAACCTAAAATCCGGGCTATACGAGCATAATAATGAAATTTCAACTATTTACTAAGGCTATTAGAGCATTAGGTATGGGCCCGTTGAGGTGATGTTATACCACCTTATAACAACAAGGGGAAATGGTGTTAATGGTGTTATGACCATGTTATGAGGAGGTTAAGAGGAGAAAAATAGAGAGATAAGAAATGTGCGGCCAATCAATGTTCTCGTTTCAATATGTCATAACGCCAACAAGATATGTCATAACACCAAGGGGGAAATGATGTTCATGGTGTTATGACCATGTTATGAGATGCCACATCAGCAAAAATACAACTTCTCGTTGCCCATACCATATGCTCTTAGATGTGGAGAGGGCAACCAACACGATGAAGTTAAGGTTTTCCATATGTATAGTTGATGATTTGGATGGATAGATTTCCATTTTTTTTAATTGAAGTTTGATGCAAGAGGTAAAAAAAGGTTTTACTCCACTACAAAAATACACAAACGCAATTCATCAATTAGCATATCACACCACTTCTAATTCATGGGATGAGTATCAGAATATTTTTGCAATAATCACACATGAAAGTGTTATAAGTTTTGTAAAGATGTCATTAAGCTTTACGATACATAATATTTGTGTAAGTCTACGTTCAATGACATTCGATAATTGTATGTGGCATATGAAAACATAGATGGTTTTCCTGGAATGTTATGACACGTTCCTTGTCTCCATTAGCCATGGGTAAATTTCCTTGATACATGGTGCATCAATACACACAAGGTGGTCGTGGATACAAACTATAATTCTAGAAGTAGTGGCTTCACATATAAAGGGATTTGACATGCATTTTTTTGGTGTTGCTGCAGCATTAGTGTTGTTTTATGTCCGGGAATATAGTCCAACACCGGTGCATTAAACATATATAGATACACATTCATGTTGTTTAGGATCAAGTTACCACCGACTATTTTTAGGTTCTTCATTCCGTCATTAGCTCAACATGCATACATCTTCACGAAGGTTCTTCCATACACCTTGTTTCATGACTTTAGAACCAAATTAAACGTTCATAATTTCCCTCACGATAAAACTGTTGGAAGGAGGTGTTAATATGTATGTACATTAGCTGAGTCCATCTCGGCTCAACGCCATGTTGTATGTATATGTATATTTCTTGTGTATGTATTATGTTTTAAAGGGGAATGGATACACCTTTCAACAAATAAGACGGATAGGTCTTATCTATATTTTTATCACATTTTGGATGGAAATTATAGAGATTTTATTTTTTTGGATAAAAAACCGGTTTCAAGTTTCTTGGATTACATGCAAACCATACAAATCAAAATCAGAAAACTTGAACCTATAACGAACATGTGCCGAAACCAATCATACTCAATAGCATTATTAACCAATCCTAGACCGATGTGGCTTAATTTGATCATAATGCTCCATAGACCCATCCAAGATGTTCACTCAAATTTAGGCATCATTTATGTCAACCACTTTGATTATCTTTTACAATGTTACCCTTTCTAGTTTGATATTAGGTCATCCGAGTCTTTGAAACTTTATTCATCAACTCTATATAGAGGGAAATGATACGCTAATAAGGATTTGGGTCTTTACTATATAGGAGACTATATTATGGTATAAAATGGGGGTGCATATGATAAATTGACAAGGATACAACGACGTCGTACAAAACATATGGTCGGGTATGGCACGTTAGTTGGTAAACGTTAAATCAGTTAATTGTCCTTCCATATGTCACTAAACGTATACAACCGAAATACTAGAAGGCCGATAATGGTAACAAAAGTTGGCCCATAACTTTGTCATTATCAATTGTGGTCATGACGTTATATTAGAATAATATTTCATTTTTACATTTTTCATCTTAATGCATAATCTCAAGAGTATAAGCTTAACAAAAACATAATTACAAATAGGTCACATCAACTAATTCATTCCTTGATCAAAATTAAGTAATTTTCCATCTATGATTGTCCATTATTCTGATATTTTTTTGGACGATTACTTTTGGTATTGATTATGGTGAGAGTTAAAGAATACAAAAAATAAATCGTTAGTTCAAAGAAAGAGATATTGTTTGTCAAAACTAGTCGGTACTAAAAGCTGGTAGTTGGTAGTGAATAACTCACAGCTGAAAGCTTTAACTTTTAACTGTTATATGAATGTTTGACAAAAGTAGTTTAAAGCTTTGAAATATATAAAATACGGAAAAGTCAATTGTATAAAAAAGATACATATATCAATATGGAAGGTGATATTTCCACTTGGTCTTTTCATCCATCCACTTAATAATATTGTATTTTCCTATTTTGCCCTTTAGAAACACGATCATAAAAACCTTGATTTTGATCCCTTAAATTGATTTCATCCCTTATTTAGATTTCATCTCCTTTTTTTACACCTCTAATTTGGAAACCCATATCCTTGATTTTGGTTTCCCTTTATTGGTTTTACATTTTTTTTGTTTTACTTTACTTTTGATTTTATTTATATATTATTAAAATAAAGTATATAGAAATAACAATAAATAATTAAATTTTGGACCAAAAATTAAATAAAAAATCATACAAATATGATACCCACACCTTTCGTTTGATTTAATAAAATTCATACCATATACTGATAAAAAAAATTAATTTTTTTGTTAATGATGTAATCTAAGTTGGTATCTCGGTCACAAAGAAAATAACGGTCATGAACCGCATTTTGAAGTAGCAGTTCTTAGGATGTAATAGTGACGATAAAGAAATATTCACCAAATTCAGATTAAATATTTGAATTGATTAAATATTTCATGATACATTAGTTTTAACATTTTGTGATATGCATTTGTTTGAATATTATGTTGAACAACATCTTACGTGAGTACCATGAGTGTTTTATTACCGTCACTATTACATTGTAAGAACTATTATTTCAATTTATGGTATGTGGCCGTTATTTACTTTGTGATCGTGATATCAGCTTAGATTACACCACCAATAATTTTTTTTTACTAGTGTATGATATTGTATGATATGACACTTAATAAATCAAACGAAGATATTTAACCGATTCCAAGAATATTATATTCGTATGGTGTTGGTATCATATTTCTATAATGTTTTATTTATTTTTTGTTCCAATAATTTAGTTATTTTTGTTATTAATATATACTTCATTTTAATAATATATAAATAAAGTTAAAGTTAAAAGTGGAACAAAAAATAAAAGTAAAACCAAAATCGAAAGACACAAGTTTCCAAATTAAAGGTGTAAAAAAAAATAGAAAAATAAAACATACACAAAATCTAAATCTAAATAAGGGATGAAATCAAGGTTTTGATGACTATGGTTTCCAAAGGGTATAAAAGTAAAAATACAATTTTATCAAGTGGATTAATAAAAAAACCAAGTGGAAGTATCAACTCTCTATCAATATATTTTAAAGGTAATTTTGGAAATTAATTAAAAAGTTCAATAGTGTTTTTCTTAAACGATAGATGAAGTAACTTTTAGATTTGAAATTTTTTATTTAAATTAAAAAGTTTAACCCTCTTATTTCCAAACATAATTTTTTCTTTAAATTGATTTTCTTTTTTTGATAAAAACTAAAAACTAGAACTTTCCAAATGCTCGTTGCCAAAATGCCAATATGATTTGCATTTACCCTTTATAATCAGTATTAATTGCAACAATTTTTTTTTGTCTAATCTTCAAAACGTGATTATTTTCGACCAAAAAAGAATAAATTTTATTATTTTCATTTGAAGAAAATAAGAAATTCGTAATTTTTCATATGTTGGACTTGTCCTAACTTGCTGGAATTTCCTCGGCTTTATGTGCAGATCAAGTTCGGCACAATATAAAATATAAGTTTTGTATTTGTATTTAAAAGTAAATATTTATAAAAATATTAAAAACAATTAGGATAAAAGAGTGTTTTGGGTCTACCCGACTAAAAAAAACCTCGATTTGACCCGATTCCATTTTGGCATGTTACCTCACATGTACAAAGTACAATCCACCCGTTTTCACACATCCATGGAGAACCCTTGAGCAAAAATCTATAAAGGAGCCTTGTTTAACGAATTACCATACATCCAAATGTATTTTGGCAAATATGTATATCATGAAATGTGGTTTTTTCGGTCTTAATTATCGCAACTATATTATTGAGCCATAATTTTTTTTATATCTTCTACTTATTTAATTTTATTATGCATTAAACGGATCCAAGCTTTTTTGGGACGAGAAAGATTTACCAAGGCGCAAATCACATGATTCATGGAACTTCAAACTTTTTTGGCCTAGAAACGGGATCACAATCACATGAATAGGTGAGCTTAAAGATTGTCTTTGGGTACACTAAAAGTGGGTTGCAATGTCATTAATTGGAAGCAAGGTATCCCATGTCCCTAAGATCACTCCTTGATGTATATGCTTTCATCTTATACTAACATTGTTAAAACTTAAAACTCTTTAGAGCAATTATTTATAAATGAGAAAAAATTAATTTTAACAATCAACCAGATTTCATTAAAACCAAAACTAAGCAAGAAACTCGTAAAATTATAAAATACGATAAATCAATTGAGAGTTTTTTTTTTGTCGGAAATAAATATGAAGAACATTCGCATCTCGAGTGAACAACCAACAACAAACATAATAAATCGAATCAAAAAAGAAAAAAAAACACTAAATAAAATTAAACATACGAAGAACATGAATAGTTACTGTGGTTCCATCATCGATATGATGTTTGTACGCCCCAAAGCGAATATGATATGATTTTATTACATGGAGAAAAGAACATGTGATTACAAACATATCAACAAAACAAAACAAAAAAAAAACTAAAAATAATATGTGA